TGTTTGAGTGTGTGTGAAGCTGTTTGTGTGAGTGTATGAGAGTGAGAGTGTGTAGGAGAGAGTATGTGTGTGTGTGTGTAGTGTCTGTGAGAGTATTTTGTGAGTGTGTGTGATCCTGTTTGTGTGAGTTCTGTGTCGTGAGAGTGTCTGTGAGAGTGTGTTTGTGTATATGTAGTGAGTGTGAGAGTACGTGTGTGAGAGTATACGTGTAACCAGTGAGTGTTGAGTGTGTGAGAGAGCGGGAGAGACCGAGGCAAGCAGCTCTCCCCTGACCCAACCCCCCACCGCACTCCAAGCTCCCGGGCTCTGCCACACCCGAGGGAAGAGATGCGGGGGGCACAGATTCCATATGTTTCTGGGTTGCCCCAGAACCAGACCTGTCCTTGGAAGCTCTGAACCCGTCCTGGGGTTTTCAAGAGGCAGCATTGCCTGAGCACCCGGAGTGCCAAGGCCTCCCTCCGTGGCTCGGTCTCCCCTGGCCCCTCCCCCAGGGGCTGCCTCCTGCCACCCACACCCTCCCCAGGCCCACGCTGAGCGGCCGCTCCCCTCCTCGTTGTGGGTGATGGGCCCAGGGGCGTGGGTGCCTGCAGAGCCCCCGTGGGACCAGGTGTGGGGCACGGTGCGGTTCTGGTCAGGGCTGAGTGTCTGTGCGGGGCCCTGGGCAGCCTTCACCCTGGCCTTGCCAGGCACCCTGGGTATTTCCCAGGCTGCACCTGCAGCCTCCAGTGTGCCCGGGTGGCGCGGCGTGGACGCACATCTCAGCCACACTGGCCCCTTGCATGAGTGACCTTGGTCCAGTGACAGCTCCGGCTCCCCGGCACAGGGGACAGTGGCGGGCTCCTTCCTCATTCTCTCAGGTGACGAGGAAGTGGCCACCTGGCAGATGCTCTGAGTAGCTGCCATCACAGAAGCCCCTGTGTGTTCATGCATGTGTTCATGCACGCACGTGTGTGTACGCGTGTGTTGCATGCATGTGTGTGCACATATGCATGTGTGTGCGTGTGTGTGCGTGTGTGTGCACGCATGTACACATATGCACGCACATGTGTGTGACGAAGGCGGCTCATTAGAGGCCCAATAAGAACAAACCGAGTTCCTTAAAGCTTACAGCACCGCCAGCCGTGTAGACCGAGCCGCCAAGGGGCCGCCCCTGCTCCCCCGGGCCCTGTTCCTCTGCCCAGACCCGCGTCTGACTAACGGTCTTCCAGAGAACAGGCCCCTTGACCCCACAGCCATAATTAGAGGCATCTCTGGCCCGGGCGAGAGACCAGGGCCCCCGGCCTGACTCACCGCCTGGCCAGAGTTGGGACGTGGCGTCTGGGCCGTGGGGTGGGACTCCGGCCTTCCCCCACCCCCACCCAGGGCCTTGTCTGCCTTGGGGAGGGGCCCTGCAGGCCGAGAGGTGGCTGGTGCCCAGTGAGAGAGAGAGTGACCGGCAGTAGTTAGACGCATGGGCTTCCTGGCCTGCTGCTGCCCCTCTGGGGAGAGTGCGCGCTCAGCCTTGTAAGCGGGTGACCCTGTCTGCACTGACACCTGCTCCCTGCTCCGCCATATGGGCACGGGGTGGGGGGAGGGCGGCTGGGCTCGGGCCAGGCTGTCGGCCGAGCAGCGCCCGCTCATATGGGCTGCCCTGCAGGCTGCATTAGAACCCAGGGGGCGGGGGGTGGGCAGCAGAACTGCTCTCGGGCCAGCCAGGCTAGGGGTGTCTCAGTGGCGGGCGGGTGGACACTGTGTGCCCGTGCTCGTGACCACCATGTTGGCACATCCCCGGCAGCCCAACACACCTCAGCGGCACCTGACCGCACTCGTGGCCCGGACCGAGGTCTCGTTTCATGGCCATTCATTTGTCTCAGCCAGGCCCCTGGTGACCATATCTCCCAGCGGAAACAGTGACCCTGGGAAGTGCTATCAGCTTACAGTGGGTCCTGGAGCACGCCGGGGAGAGCAGGTCAGCCCCTCCAATGGAACTCTGCGGACGTGGCAGAGTCCAGCCTGGACCCGTCCGCTCCCTGGTTACGTCTAACCCCAGGAGTCGTGCGAGCACGTGTTCCGAGCCTGTGAGCCCTGGCTGGGAGTCGAGGCGGGGGAGAAGGGCAAAGAAGTGGGGTGGGGACCCCGCTGGGCCACAGGCTCAGGGCGGAGACCACGGGGCCGGGGCCGGGGTCTGCACCCCACTCAGGGCGGAGGCCACATGGGCAGGGCAGGGTCTGCACCCCACTTAGGTCAGGGGCCACGTGAGTGGGGTGGGGGTCTACACCCCACTCAGGGCAGAGGCCACGTGGGCGGGGTGGGGGTCTGCATCCCACTTGGGTGGGGCTGTCTGGAGGGAGTGTCTCATGTCCCTCAGCACCCTGGACAGACGCTGGGGGCCGCTGAGCCTGAGTCAGGAAGGGGGAGGCCCGTCGGACCCCCCCGAAGTCAGTGCCGGGTGCTTCTGGAAGGAACATCTGGACGGGTCAGGCGGGCGGCCATGGCGCCGGCTGGAAACTGCTGCTCCGGCTCTCTGGGAAAATGCCGCAGCCCTGCCCCGAGTGCACAGGCTCGGCTCCAGACGTGCTCTCTGCGGCCGGGGGCCGGGCCAGAGCCAGGGCGCGTGCGCAGCGCACAACCCGCGGCTTCCACACTGACACACGTGGTCCCCCATACGGGGGGTGGGGGGGGGTCCCAGCAGTGCCGCATCCGCAGCCCCCAGCCCCCAGCCCCCTGCACACCGCTTGGGAGGTCCAGAAGGCTCCCACGTTCCCAGTTGGCCAGGAAAGACTCTCTGTGTCTCTCTTCACTTTGGTCTTCCGGCCACGCCCCACAGTGCTCAGGCCTCACTCCGGACTGCACTCAGGGATCACTCCTGGTGGGGCTCGGGGACTGAACCTGGGCTGGTTGTGTGCAAGGCAGGTGCCCTCCCCGCAGTGCTCTCGCTCCCCTGCCGGTTTCTGATTGGCCCCATCAGGAAGCAATGCCCTTGGCCGATCTCTGCTCTTTCTGCTTGCTGCCGTGGCAGGTGGCAGACGGCCCGGACACCCTTTCTCTGTGCGGACTGTTGAGCTTGGTTTGATTTGGGGTCTGGAAGGGCCGACCCCTGCACTCGGGCACCGTTCACGTTGGCTCCCAGCAGTTGGTGATGGATGGAATGTGGGGGGCCAGTGTTGACACCCGGATCCTGCCTGCATCACTTTGGTGATGGGCAAAGTTCTGAGCTGGTTTGAGCGCGTTACCCGACGATGGGGGGTGGGGGGTGGCACGCAACAGACCTGGGGGTATGTTCCCACATCCTTCCCGGGTGCTGGGGCAAGAGGGGGCATCAGGAAGAGACACCCACAAACTCGCCCGTCTAGAAGGTGTGGGAGGGCGACGGGGAGAGAGCTGGGTGCTCCCTGATGCCGGCTGAGCCGGGCCTGCATGGACCTCCCAGGCAGCCTCGCCGGGCCTGGGGCGGGAGGCTCCGTCTGGACTGGCTTCCGGCCAGCGGCTCTGACGCGAAGGGGACAGTAAGGGGACTGTTGGGGTCGGGCGGTGGCCGGGGCCAACCCTGGTTCCGGAGGGGTGTCCCCGCCAGCAGTCCCGGCCCAGGGCTCCCCACACAGGCCCTCTGTTGCCGGAGACCCCGGGCTGTCCGCGGGCTCAGAGCCAGCCAGTGGGGGCTTCACACTGACGCACCCTGTGAGCTGGAGCCCGACCCTGGCTCCGGGCGGAATCGCATTCCTGGGGTCCGCCGCCCCGCTCCACACACCTCTTGGGGTCCCTCCCCTGCCCGCACTCAGTGCCCTCACTGTCCTGAGCCCCCCCTCCTCCTGAGAGGGAACAGTCCGTCCTGTAAGGAACAGGCGGAGTCGTGAAGCAGGATGAGGACTTGGGCCTCAGGCTGGAGAATGCAAAAAAGCGTTGCCACCGGCTGGGCAGCTGGGCGGAAGGACAGCCACAGCCGGGCCAGCCCAGGCCCTCCCCAGAGGCCTCCGCCCGCCCTTTTTACTTTTACTTTTACTTTTTTCTTTATTCAATCATTTGCTGAGTGTTTATTGAGCACCTCCTATGTGCCAGACAGCATGCTGGGTGTGAAAGTCCAGAGACGCCTGGACCGGCGCCCTGCCCCGAGCACGCACGGCCACTGACGCAGGACACCAGTGGGAACTGTGGGATTGGTGTGAAGGGGCGTGGCGCAAATGCCCACAGGAGTGGCAGCTTCTGCGGCAACCACTCTAGGGGTCCCTCTCCTGCAGGCGCAAAACTTTGGGGGGGGGGCTGAGGCCAGTGAGGCGGAGGGAACCCGGGAGCCAGATGGCGTCAGCCTCACCCCGATCGCCTCGCTGCCCAGGAACCTTAAACAAGTGGTTCCTCCCAGGGCCTTGTACAGAAAAGGGGGCCGAGGCCCCGAGCTGGCCACCCCCAGGGGCTCGTGCCTGACCCCCTGCCCTCAGCCTGACTCAGTGCTCCATTCCCCAGCCCACACCCTGTGGCCCTCATGTCGCCTTTCGAGGCCCTGTCCCCAAGCGCGGCCCCTCTGAGGGCTCCCCATGGGCTCCCAGGCTGGCACGCGGGGGGCTTGCACCCCACCCCGGGACGCAATGCCCAGGGCCCTGGCCAGTGGCAGCTGTTCACATAGGCAGAAATGCAGGCATCTGGCAGACGGCTTGGGTGTTCCCAGGGACTCCGCACCCACCAGAAGCCGGACCTTTGGGTGCCAGGCGTGTGCTCCATCCAGCTCCCGTCCCAGCAGGGAGGTGGGAACAAGGAAGGGGAGGTGACAGTCCCTCCTGCTCACCCTCAGTGACCCTGGCAGGACCCCAGCCTCTGTCATCCCTGAGCTGCGGCCCCTGGTGGTGGTTGGGGGTGGTGGGAGTGACCCCATACCAGGTGGCCAGCAGGGGTCACAGCAGGACCCCCAAGCAGCCATGAGCGTGGAGCACAGCTGGGCTGGGGGCAGGAAGGGGGGGCTGTGGGGTCCACCCTTGGTTCAGCGCCAGCCCCCACGTGCTCACGGGAACTCTCTCTCTCTCTGTCCCCAGCGTCGAGGGCGAAGGCCCCAGCAGCGACACCGGCACGTCCCTGGACAGCCCCTCGGCCTACCACCAGGGTCCGCTCGCACCCGGCTCCAGCCTGAGCCCCGACCACTACGAGCACGCGGCCGTGGGCGCCTATGGGCTGTACCCGGGGCCGCCGGGCCAGCAGCGCGTGCGGAGGCCCAAGCTGCAGCACTCGACGTCCATCCTGCGCAAGCAGGCCGAGGAGGAGGCCATCAAGCGCTCGCGCTCGCTGTCCGAGAGCTATGAGCTCTCCTCCGACCTGCAGGACAAGCAGGTGGGCAGGGCCGGCCCCCGGGCGGGTGGGCGGGCGCACCGGGGCCCTGTGTCTGCGGCAGGCCCGCCACCTCCCTCCTCCCCCCTCCCCGTCTCTCAGCCCTCCGCCCCACGGCTTTAGGGGGCTCCCATCCACCACTCAGGACCCCCAGCCCCGCTCCCCAGCACCCCCGAGCCAAGCCGGAGGCAGCTGCGAGAGGAGAAGGTCAGTCAGCACAGAAATAGCTCAGGCCCCAGGAGGAAGCTCGCGCCGGCCAGCGCTGAGGCCACGTTGCTTATTATAACTCGGCATGACGGCCCCGCGCGCCCGCGGGCACGCGCACTGCCTCCCTGCGCCGGCCCCCCCTCCCGCCCCCGCCACCTCCCCAGGACCCCCCTGGGACCAGCAGGGGCCAAGCCGTGCTGTGAGCTTTCTCAGTCCAGCCCCTCGGGCCGGGGGCAGCTCAGCCCTGAGCCACGTTAGTGGTGAGCCTTGGCGAGACGGGGCAGAAGGTTCCAGGCCTCCAGGAGCCCTGGGTCAGCCTGTCTGTGCAGCGTTTTGGCTCCTGGCTGCAGCCTCTTGGGGGCACAGCCCGGGTGTCCCCTCCCTGCCCCTGCCCGTGGCTGCCCTGCTCAGACATCATCCCTCTGGGGGGCCCAGTCTCTTCATCCCTGACTCTGGGCGTGAGGCCGAGGGGCACGTGTCCACGGCAGGCCAAGATGGCCTCAGCCCTGAGTGGATCAGACCCATGTAGACAGACAGCATCTGCCTCAGGTCGCAGGGTAGACTGAGGGCGGGCAGGACCGACAGACTCATGGCGCCAGCTCTGATGGCCAGTCCAGGGCGTCCCGTTCACAGCCGGGGGCCTGCTCCATGCCCAGATACCTGCGGGGTGCTGGGACATCTCAGCCGCCCGGGCCGAGGTTAGCCAGGAGGACGGCTGGATTTGAGAATGCCACACTGCAGGTTGCTGCCCCCGAGCTGGTGGGTTTCACACACACCAGAGTGTGGTTGGGGGGGCCAGTCTGCAGTGGGAGAAAGAAGGGCTGAAAGGCCTCCCTGGAGACCGTGAACCAGAGTGGGGAGACAGAGTAGGGTGGTGAGGAAGAGGAGGGGGCGTGGAGGGAAGAGTTTATGGCAAGTGCAAAGGCCCTGAGGCAGCAGCAGGACGGAAAGAATTCAGAGCAGGACCAGACAGTGTATAGAGCAGGGCTGGACAGAGCAGGGCAGGAGGTAGTCCCCAGAACCCGGGCCAGCACCATGTCTTCCACTCAGCTTCCTGGCAGACGGAGCACAGATGGCCCTGCCGGGTGAAAGGGTGCCCGTTCCCCAAGGAGTCTGGCTGGCACAAAGTCCCCACAGATCACGAAGCCTCGGGGAATGGGCACTTTCCCTCTGAGCCTCTGGAAGGTTCCAGCAGGGAGAGGGCTGAGCAGTTGCTTTCTGGAAGGCTCCAGGCTGCCCCTGGAACTGCGAAGGGCCCCTTCAGGGTGCTGTGGGGGTTCCAGGGGACCCAGCTCCACCAGCGCCCCCAGTTGGCCAGGCGTCCCTGTGGGTGCACATCCCCACAGCAGGGCCCAGGGGGGCGGGGGGCCCCCTCTTTCCCGTGCAGACAGGGCGCAGCCCAGAGGAAGGGCCACTGAGCCTGCAGGTGGGGCCCCCAGGTGTCACTGGCCGTGCAGAAGGGACAGACAGGATTCGGGGGAGATGCTCGCCCCAACTACAAGGGTTCAGGGAGGAGGCACCCCCCCCACCGCCCCAGGGTCACGCCTGTTGCAGAGCTCCATGTTGGGGGGGGTGGCCTACAGTGGCAGAGACCCTCCGTCCTGCTCAGGAAGGCCAGCCCCCGCCTCGGCAGGAAGGAGAGAAGGACCTTCTGGAGCACAGCCTGGGCCCCTTCTCGGCCCCCAGGCGCCGCCTGGCATAACCCCGAGAACCGAGACCGGCTCTGGGAGGGGAAGTGAGCTCATTCGCTTGGACCGAGTTCAGTAACTTCGGGGCGAGCGAGAAAACAGAACCCGCCCTGGTGCTCCGGGCAGCCACGCTGTCACCCACACCCCTGCTCCCCGCGCCCTCCCGGTCCTCCGCACCCACAGGCTTGGGGGCCCCGTGGAGCTGACCACCCTCGCTTCTCAGAGAGGGGAGGCCTGGCCCCTGACCCGGGAAGACACCCCGCCCCGCTGCCTGCACATCAGCCCCCGCCACCACTCACTCATGCACTCACACACTCATGCACACACACTCATGCACAAGCACACACTCATGCGCACACACTCACACTCATACACACACACTCATCCACAAGCACACACTCATGCGCACACACATTCATACACAAGCACACACTCGCATACTCACACACACAAGCACACACATACCCTCACACAATGCACACGCACACACTCATGCACACACACTCGTACAAGCACACTCACACTCACACTCGTATCCTCTGACATACACTCATGGATATGCTTATGCACATACTTTCACATACTCGTACACACACATGCTCTTATGCACACACATACACACATGCACATTCACATGCTCATACACAATACACACACTCATGCCTAAACATAGGTACACGTTCGTACACACTCAAACGTACACACGCAGACAGATGTACACACACGCTCACATACCCATGCATACTTACACACATGCACACAGACACATTCGCTCACACTCATGCAAACACTCTCATGCACACACATCCACGTGTGCATGTGTGGAGACCCACAGGGGACTTGGAGACGGGGGGCCGGAGACATCTGAGGGTTCCCCGGCCCCGCCCTGTGTGGGGTTCCGGACTCACCAGGTGGGCCCACTTCCAGTCTGGAGGCCTCCAGGTTTTGGTTAGGGCTTCCCTGGGCCTCAGTTTCCCTTTCAGTATAGTGGGGGGCGTGGCACCCCCCAGAAACTATAAAGCTTGCAGAAATGCGGTGGGGAGTGTCAAAGCCCCAGGTGCCTCTGTGCTCACTCCGAGCCAGACCCTCCACCCCCCCGATGCTCCGACCTGAGTGCTCGCTGACCCCCGTCGCAGGGCCCAGAGCTGCCTGTTTCACAGGTGGCCAGACAATTGGGCAGTCACATGGCAGTCAGATGATGCCAGCCACTCCAGACGGCCAAACTCTGGGGCCTCCCGGAAGTTCAGGGGCACGCCCCAGGGAGAACTCAGGGCCTGAGCCAGGCAAGGCTGGAGAGCCAGCCAGCACCCAGGGCTCAGCTCTCAGTGCCCAGTACTCAGCACTCGTCCCAGCTGTGCGCAGGGCCCTCCAGCTCGGGTTGGGGCGCCAGGACTCCAAGTTGGTGCTGACTCCTGGGTGGCGGCAAAATGCAGGACCCTGTGAGGGCCAGGCGGGCTCGCCTCGCACTCACTGCTTCTCCACCCTGGACCCCGGGTCTGGTGTCCCACCAGCCTGCCCCGGTCAGGGGCCTTGGGGAGCGTTTGATCTGGCCTCGGGGTGCCGAGGGCCCCCACAGATCCCACCACAGCGCAGGGCCGGGGGCCCCGAGCCCCAGTGACGCCGGCTGCCGCCCCGCAGGTGGAGATGCTAGAACGGAAGTATGGGGGACGCCTGGTGAGCCGCCATGCCGCCCGCACCATCCAGACGGCCTTCCGCCAGTACCAGATGAACAAGAACTTCGAGCGCCTGCGCAGCTCCATGTCCGAGAACCGCATGTCGCGCCGCATCGTGCTGTCCAACATGAGGATGCAGTTCTCCTTCGAGGGGCCCGAGAAGGTGCACAGCTCCTACTTTGAGGGCAAGCAGCTCTCCGTGACCGACGACGGCGGCCCCCCGCTGGGGGCGCTGGTGCCGCCCGAGTGCGGGGACCTGGGCGAGCCCCCCGCCCTGCCCTCGCCCGCCCCGGCCGGCGGCGGCGACTTCACCGACGCCATCACCGAGCTGGAGGACGCCTTCTCGCGGCAGGTGAAGTCGCTGGCCGAGTCCATCGACGACGCCCTCAACTGCCGCAGCCTGCACGCCGAGGAGGCCGGGGCGGCCCCCGACGCCGAGCCCCCGCCGGCCCTGCACGGCGTGGACCCGCGCCGGCTGGACGAGATGACGGCCTCCTACAGCGACGTCACCCTGTACATCGACGAGGAGGAGCTGTCGCCGCCCCTGCCCCCAGCCCAGGCCACCCACCCGCACCGGCCGGGCAGCGCCGAGGCCGACCTGCGGCTGCGGGCCGGGGGCGCTGTCCAGGACTACTGGGCGCTGGCCCGCAAGGACAAGGGAGACGTGGACGCGAGCTGCCGGAGCACGCCGTCGCTGGAACGGCCGGAGCAGAGGTGCCGGCGAGCCGAGCACCTCCCGCTGCTCACCATCGAGCCGCCCAGCGACAGCTCCGTGGACCTCAGCGACCGCTCGGACCGCGGCTCGCTCAAGAGGCCGGGCGCCTACGAGCGCGGCCCCGGCGGGCCGCAGGGCAGCCCCAAGCACGGTGCCGCCCCCAAGGGCCTGGCCCGGGAGGAGCCCGAGCTGCGGGCCCGGCCCCCGCGGCCCCTGGACGGCCACCTGGCCATCAACGGCTCGGCCAACAGGCAGAGCAAGTCCGAGTCGGACTACTCGGACGGGGACAACGACAGCATCAACAGCACCTCCAACTCCAACGACACCATCAACTGCAGCTCCGAGTCCTCGTCCCGCGACAGCCTGCGGGAGCAGACGCTGAGCAAGCAGACCTACCACAAGGAGACGCGCAACAGCTGGGACTCGCCCGCCTTCAGCAACGACGTCATCCGCAAGCGCCACTACCGCATCGGCCTCAACCTCTTCAACAAGTGAGTGGCCGGAGGAGGAGGAGGAGGAGGGTGCCGCCCCAGGGCCTTTGCACTTGCTGCCTAAGCCCCTCCATCCCTCTGCGTTGCAAGGACAGAGGGTTAGAGCCTGGTCCGGCCGCTCACAGCCTGGGCCGGGGCAGGATGAGGGGGTCCCCTGGGACACAGCAGTGGGGGGGAGGGCGCTATAGTGTGTGTGTGGGGTCCCTTCCCCAGTTCCAGGTAGAACAGCAGGCGGCAAGCTGGCCCTGGGTATGCGGGTGTTAGTGGATGTTTGTGCAGTGCCCAGGCATCAAATCCCGGATTCCATGTTGCACAGCAAATGTCCCTGCCGCTAAGCCCCCTCCCAGACCCCCAAGAATTGGCTTCCGCCCCCATGAGGCAAGAGGGCTGGGACAGGGCTTTCTGGCGGGCTAGAGCAATAGCACAGCGGGGAGGGAGTTTGCCTCGCACACAGCCGACCCAGGTTCGATTCCCAGCATCCCATATGGTCCCCTGAGCACCGCCAGGAGTAATTCCTGCGTGCAGAGCCAGGAGGAACCCCCATGCATCTCCAGGTGTGACCCAAAAAGAAGAAAACAAAAAAAACGGGGCCCTCTGGCAGATGCAGCCGGAGGCAGAGCCTGGCAAGGAGGAGGCGAGCCCACTTCAGCCGGAAGCTCTGGGGCTGTGTGAGTTCCCAGGGCCCCCTGGGAGCTGAGTCCGGTGAGGGGCTGTTACGAACCCCTCGGGGAAAGGGGCTGGGCGGGGCCTGTCCCGGAGGCTCTGAGGAGGGCGGCGGTATTTAAAGCAGACTATTATTAGAACAGTGGAAATAGCCGGTGCAGGAGGAGGCGGCTGCCAGCCTGCAAGGGGGCAGCGGGCGGGCTCCTGCAAAGCCGAGATTGAGTCTCGCAGTGCTGCCTCCAGGCGGTCCCCGGGATGTGGGGTCACTGGGTGCAGGTGTGGTGCCGGGGCCTGCCCGGCAGCTCAGACACCCCCCCCCCCGCATCTCCCCCCCCACACACACACATACACACCCCTCTCCTGACTGGGTGCACTTGGGAGGCAGCCTGTGTAGTCGGGAGCCTGGGCTGGGGTCGGAGGAAAAAAGGCCCTGTCCCAGGGGTGGCAGAGGCTGGCGGGGGGGGGGGGGGGCGGCGGGGGCTCCCTGGTCCGAGGGTGGGTGCCCCTGCAGAGCAGCTCAGTGCCCGCCACAGGGACGGAAGCTGCCCCTCAGGCACGGTCCCTGCTGGCCAGTGTCTGCCCCCACAGGGTCCCCAGCAGCTTCTGTCCTGGTCCCCCACTGTGCTCCCCCCTCCTGCTCCTGGAACCCCGCTGACCTTCTGGTTATGCTTAGATGGGGTGGGGGGGGTCAGCCCCCAGCCTGCTTGCTGCCTCTGGGGGCCTGGAGCTCATGGGCACACACCGGACTCTGTGTCTCCAGGGAAGGTGGCCTGAGAGGCCCCCCGCCCCCGACTTCCTTCCCACTGCAGCTGCCCTGAGTCCCAACATCCACACACTGGGCAGCACCTCATAAGTGCCCAGGGGTCAGGCCAGTCCTCTTTTTTTTATTTTATTTTTTATTTATTTCTTTCTTTATTTTTGCTTTTTGGATCTCACCCAGCAATACTCAGGGGTTACTCCTGGTTCTGCACTCAGGAATTACTCCTGGTGGTGCTCAGGGGACCATATGGGATGCTGGGAATTGAACCCGGAAGCCTTCCCCGCTATGCTTTCGCTCCGCCCCAGGTGGGTCCTCTTGGTGGTGGGCTCTGTGCTGGCCTAGGGGTGGAGAGAGCCCGACCTGGCTTCTCTTCTCTCGGAGGCCCGTCACATTCTGTTACGGCCCTTGCCGCTCAGGCTCCTCCTTTCTACGTTGCCGATGTAGTTTGTGATGACCAAGTATTTCTTGTTTCATTTTGTTCTGGGGCCACACCCCCCGAGATGCTCAGGAATGACTTCTGGCAGCCTCAGGACCCTGTGGGATGCCGGGGATCAAACCTGGGTCAGCCATGTGTGCGGCAAACGCCCTCCCCCCTCCCCGCTGTCCTGTAGTTCAGCCCTTGATTACAAAGTATTTCTCTGTCTCCTTTCTCCCTTCCCTGCACTCCCTCCCTGCCTCCTTTCCCATACAACTCACCAGCTGTGTAGTTCAGTGGTTTTTGTTTTTCTCATTGGAGCCGGGGGTTGGCCCATCCCCAGCAGTGCTCAGGCCTTACTCCTGGCTCTGTGCTCAGGGATCGCTCCTGGGGCTCAGGGGACCCTGTTTAGTGCCCGGATCCAACTGGGGTCGGTGTGTGCAAGGCAAAGGCCCTCTCTGCTTGTTTGCTCGACTCTCCTTAAATCATCAGCGTTTGGTTTTTGTTTTGTTTCATTTTGAATGACTGACTTTTCACGCTTATTTCAAACGGTTCTGCCCTGGGGCAGGAAGTGACCCCTCAGTCCTGTGGGAGGTGAGTGCCCACTGGAGGCCCTGGGCCTGGGCCTCAGTTTAGCAGCAGCACCAGCCGCAGCTGTGCCAGCCAGGTGGCCACGTACCACACGTTGGACCCCGTCCCCCCCCAGTGACCGGAAGTCCTGTCGGTTCCTGCGTGCGTGTGGAGTGTGAATTGCGCTCAGAGACGAGTCCCCCCCCCCGCACCCCGCACTGAGCCCGGGGTGGCACCAAGCCAGGCTACCCGGAACCCCCTCGCTCAGGGTCCTGCCGGGCCCTCAAGGCGGCTCGAGGAAGACAAAGCTCTAAGGAAGCCCCGCGGGGGGAGAGGGGGCAGGAAGGGGACACGCCTGAGGCCCGGGCTGGACAGGCATCCCTCGATAAACAGATGTTCCTCAAACATCTGTCCTTTGAGGCTCCACAGCCACACGTGGCGCCCAGCCCTGAGAGCCAAGAGTGTCCAGTGGACAGAGGCGGGGGGTTGTCCGCCCTGGCTCAGCCCCCCCCCGCCAGCGAGCAATGTGCCTGGGACCCGCCCTGGGAGATGCCCGCGGCTGTGGCCAGGGGCACTGCTGCTCCAGACTGGGGAGGGGGCTTCATAGCCGCGGGCTACCAGGGGCTCTGGGGGGGGTGAGGGGGGAGCCAGGGCTGGTCAGCATGCGTGGGAGCTGGCCGCCTCTGCCCTGCTTGCCTATGTGCAAGACTGGCAATGCCCCCTCCCTCGCCCCTGGGCATTCTGATGCCAGGGACCTGGGTGGCACTCAGCAGGTGGCCAGGCGGAGCGCACGCCTGCCACCGGCTTCCTGAGCCAGGCCACCAATGGAAATGGGGCCTCTGGACCCCAGGCAGAGCCAGGTCAGCCCCAACACCCCCCTCACTTGGCCCACCCATTGCCTGCTTCACAGGGAAGGTGCTCATGTCCCCCTGGGGCTCCTGCCCTCACACAGGGGTGACCACCCCCGCCACCCTGCCAGGGGCCCTCCCTGGCACAAGGTGCTTCCTGGTCTGCAGTGAGTCTAGAGGGGGCCGAGGACCGCCCCTCCCGCGCCATGCCCTGTCCGAGCCATCCCCGGGGGCCTGGGCTCTGCACCATGGGCCTTCTCCCGTGCTGGCAGCCACCTGCCCCCCCCCCCCCCCCCAACCTGTCCCCAGTCCTGACCGCCCTGGCAGGCGGAGGTGCCTCTGGCCAGCAGGGGGCAGGCTGTGGCCAGCGTCTCCACAGAGTGAAGGGGCTGAGCCATCAAGGTGCCCTTGGCAGGACCCCATGTCCTGGAGCCCAGACTGAGTCCCCCTAGGGGGTGGCCACCTATGCTGATGTGTCCTGGCTAGGAAACTCAGGGGGACGCCCTGGCTTTCATGCTGGGGACTGTAGCGGGAGGTCAGGGACCGGCCAGCCTAGATGTGTCAGGTGTGTGATGGCGATTGCCTGGAGCTGGGCTGGCCCTGCGTCCCCCCATCATGGCCACCGAGGGCCTCCGTGCTTGTGCCAGGCAGCCTGAGCTCCTGAGAGGCCAGAGCCGGGGTGCCTGATAATTTCCCGAGAGGCCAGAGCCAGGGTGCTGGGTGAGCTCCCTGCTGTCTAAGTGCCGCACCCGGCTAGGAAGGTCCACGCAACTACCCTGGGCACCCTCAGTGGGACTGGGAGGTCTGGGCGCTCTCTGGGCCCACCTGGGGCACAGCGGCATAGAGGGAGGCTATGAGTCCAGGGCCAGTGGTGGGGAGGCCGCTCTCATCCCGTCCCAGCTCCTGGGCTGGGAGGGTGCCACGCCGCCCTGGCCTCCCCACCAATCCACTCACGGAGTCACCTGCCAGGATGGGGCCTCTGGGCGGTCACTCGCAAGGGCCACCCCTGACTCTGGCCCCGGTGGACACAGCCAGCCAGGCAGCACCAGGCTTTGCCTCAGTTTTCTCCCAGGGACCAGGGCCAGTGGTTTCAGGCACCCGACTCAGCCAAAGCGAGGGACTGCGGGCAGTAGGATGCCACCTGCCCATCCCGCTGTCATGGCCTTGGGGACCACTCGGGGGCACCCAGACCCTCCCGGGACAGGGTCCGAGCCCACGCCGGGTTCCCCATCCTCCTGCGCCGGTGCAGGCGGCGGGTCTGACGTGCCTCTGTGCCTGCAGGAAGCCTGAGAAGGGCATCCAGTACCTCATTGAGCGCGGCTTCGTGCCCGACACGCCCGTGGGGGTCGCCCACTTCCTGCTGCAGCGCAAGGGCCTCAGCCGGCAGATGATCGGCGAGTTCCTGGGCAACCGGCAGAAGCAGTTCAACCGGGACGTGCTCGAGTGAGTGCAGGGTGGGCCGACCCCTGACCTCTGCCCCTGGCAGCCCCACCCCTGACCTCTGCCCCTGGCAGCCCCCCCCCAACTCTCTCTCCTTCCTCCTGCTCAGAGACAAACAGACACACATCCCAGGCTGGCTTTGCATGGCTCCCACCAAGGTCACCGAGCCCTCAGCCCCTTCCCCTGGCCTGGCTGCCCGGGACTGCTATATGGGAACTCAGCCCTGTCTGGGCACTTCCTCGACCCCCTCCTGACCACCTCCCTCTCCCGACCCCCACGGCCACCATCCCTACAACGCCACGGAGAAGCGAACCCTGATCCCAGGAATGCTGACAGTGGTGGGGCCTGGCTTGCCGGCCCTCTGCCCACTGTCCACCCCAGCTGGCCAGACACAGAGCAGGGCAGGTGCCCCAGGGGTGAGTGTCCACCCTTCCGTGTCCAGCCCAACTCACAGGGCTTGAAAAACTCTGGGGGTGAGTGAGGGCGCAGAGCCGCAGGGCAAAGCCACTCTGCACTCAGTGGGGGCAGGGCCCCAGCGCACCCACCTGCATGCCAGTTTGTCCCCCAACACCAGTCCACAATGCCCTCGGGGGCCTGAGCCCTCCATGGCCAGCGAGTGACCGTGCTCATGGCCCTGCCCGCTGTGGGGCCGGAAGCGGTGCAGGGAGAGCCGGGAGGGGCTGTCAGGCTGCGGGATTCCTGCACGCCCCCCGCCCCCACCCCCGCCCGCACCCCCAGCCGAGGAAATCCGGGCTTTGTCCTCCTGCAATGAGAAAATAGCAGTGGCCTCCGGAGAAGCCAACCCTCCCCCACACACGGCACCAGTCAGGCCCCCCCCTTGTGTCCCAAACCCACCTTTCCCCCCCACCAGGCAGCTGCCCCAGAGACCAAGCACTGAGAAACTGTCCCCCCACCCCCACTGATGCCAAGTGTCACCCCAGCGAGGGGGACCCTGGAAGGGGCACTGGCAGGCGTCGACCCCACTGGCCCTCCTCAGGAGTGGCCCTAGCCGTGTGTCGTCCCGTCCCCCCGCCCCCTCCCCCCCACAGGTCCTGGCCCAGCCCACCTTCTCTGTTCAGGACTCACCTCGGGGGCTGCCCAGGGGGTGGGGTGGGCACCGGCCAGCTCTGGCCTGGGGGATGGGGACAGAAGCGGGTTTGGCTCCACCCCTGCCACTGCCACCTCTGGATCCTGGGCAACCCTGGTCATGCCCCAGGCACAGCTCTGCACCTGCTCCCCTGGAAGAGGGGCACCCCCAAGCCGCCTGCACGCACCCTGTCACTCGGGTGCCCATCACACACACACGCACACACACATACACACACGCGTGCACGCACACAACACGCGCCCACGCACATGCACAGCCGCCAAAGCAGAAACCTCTCCAGTGGTGGGGCTCGGGCGTCTCCCGGGGTCTCCGCTGACGCCGCTGGCCGTGTGGTTGCAGCTGCGTGGTGGACGAGATGGACTTCTCCGCCATGGAGCTGGACGAGGCGCTGCGCAAGTTCCAGGCGCACATTCGCGTCCAGGGGGAGGCGCAGAAGGTGGAGCGGCTGATCGAGGCCTTCAGGTGGGCCGGGACCCCGGCACAGGCCAGGCGGGGGGAGTGGGCTGCACCCCTGGGTGCCCCATGTCCCACAGGTCCCTGAGCTTCCCGGCTCCCTCCCCCGCTCAGGGCCTGTTACGCCCCCGGTCAGAAGTGTCGGGGTAACCAGAAGCCCCCTCTGCTGAGCCTGTCCCAGCCGCCCCTCGCCCGCCAGCAGGTGACCTAGATCTGTAGGGCCTCCGCGCTGAGCAGGTGTGGGAAACAGGGCCCACCCAGGAAGTGCAAGACCAAAGCCTGGCCCAGGGAGGGGATATGATCGGCCTCTTCATCCCAGGAGAGCTTCCTGGAGGGGGCAGCCCTGATGGAGAACACAGAATTGACACCCTGGTCACCCCAGCTCGAAGGCTGCTGCCTCAGCCGGTGTCCCCTCCCCCCGCTCCCGCCTGTCCCAGAAGGGGTCTGAGGGGCGCACTGCAGTGAGGACAGGAAGGGAAAGGGGCTGCTGTTCAGCTCTGCCGCCGTGCGCCCATCTGTGGGGGCCCTGGGGCCCTGGAACCAGACGCAGCGGGAGGTCCCTCCTCTGGGCAGGACCCTGACTTAAGGGAGCCACCGTCACTGGGCTGGAGCAGAGTGGGGTGATAGGGTGACGGCGCTCAGCTCCGAGGGAGCCAGAAGGTGGGCACCCCGCGTGCCCGAGGAGAGACCGTGACCCAGAGGGCAGAGAGCCAGGGGGCAGGTGCCGTCCCCCCGGCCCGGCCCCCCCACCCTGACCCTGACCTCGTCCGCGCCCCCAGCCAGCGCTACTGCATCTGCAACCCCGGGGTGGTGCGGCAGTTCCGGAACCCCGACACCATCTTCATCCTGGCCTTTGCCATCATCCTGCTCAACACGGACATGTACAGCCCCAACGTCAAGCCCGAGCGCAAGATGAAGCTGGAGGATTTCGTCAAGAACCTGCGAGGTGCCAGGGGGTTGGGCGGCCTGGGGCACCCCTGGGCAAGGGGTCTGGAGCCGCTGGAGGGCCGCGGCTTGGAGTTGGTGGGACCCAGAGCCCCAGAGGGAGGGAGCGGCTGGGTGCACTGGGGCGCAGAGGAAGCCCTCCCGGGTGCTGACCCGAGGCAGGACTGGGCTGCAGGGTCCCAGGACGCTGCTGACCCCAAACCCCGGCCCCTCGGGACCATACTATCGCCACCTCGGCTGCCGGGGCCCTGGGGAAGGCGGATCGTGAGGCCAGGTCATGCGCGGTACCACAGGGATTGACCCCAGGTGCCCAAACAAAAAAGTAATTGTGCTTTTCAGCTGTCCCTCCCTGCCGAGACTCTGTGCCCCCTGACTGTCCCCTCCTGAGACGGCAGCACCTCCCGGGGTCCAAACAGGCCGCTGCGCCCCCTGCTGGTGGGAGCCGTCGTAGCATGATGCCTAAGGAAACGCCCCCAATGCTTCCAAGTAGAGACCCCCCAGAGAGGGAGCCCCTCCCCTCACTGCCCTGAGACCCCAAGGGCACCGGCTGAGCCTGGAGGCAGCTGCGTCATTGAGTTCTTAGGACCCCCTGCTTGGCGTGGGCACCGCGGCCCCTCCCCTTGCTCTCGGGACTCTACTCAGTTGGCCAATACGTCCACACACACAGAGACACACATCATATTCACACACCCAACACACACAGACACGCACACAGGCACACAGACACGTACATACAGGCACAAAGACATACACAGAGACACATACACACATGCACACAGACATGCACATACACAAACACCCAGACACACACACATGTACAGGCATGTACACACACAGACATGCACATATATGCACATACAGACATGCTCACAGACACGCACGCACACACATGCACATGCTCACACATGCACACATACTCAAGTTCACACATTCACACACATGCACACTCGAGCTTACGCACGTTCACGCACACATGCACACATTCTCACACAAATGCACACACGCACACATGCTCACATACTTATATGCTGATGCACACACACACATGCAGCGAGGATGGACTCAGGGAAGCATGGGCACCGTGTCCCCGTCTGCCCTGGCCACCACCATGTGGTGGCTCTGTGGTCAGTGAGGTCCTAGCGCTCCTGCCCCACAGTCTGGGGTACAGAGTGGACGGAGGCCCCTGCTCCTTCCGAACAACCCGTTCAAGGCAGGAACGTGGAGGGTCTGTGCTTCAGGTGGGCACCAGCCCAGAGAGGGAAGGAAACGTACCCAGGGTCACACAGCATGTGAACAGCAGAGGTGAGAAGCCCCCGGTCACCCAGGCACCCCAGGCAGAGGAAACATACCCATGCCGCAGACACACTGAGTTACACACAACACCCACAGCACACACTCCCAGACTCCACACAAACATACACCCACACACCGCACAGACACACCACATACACATACACTGCACACACCACATACACATAAACTACACACCTCACACAGACACACAACATACACACACCACACACCCCACACAGACACACCACATACACATACACTGCACACACCACACGGACACAACATACACATACACCACACAGACACAACATACACATACACCACATATACCACACACTCAGCATACACATACGCCACACATATCACACAGACACACAACATACACATACACTGCACACTCTCAGACCCAGCATAAACATACACCGCACATGTATACCACATATACGCATCACACCACGCTCATACACACGTGCACCCCACACGCTCTCAGACATAACGGACACATACCTCCCAGACGCACCCTCACACACCGGATACCACACACATCACACATTTCGCGCCTCACTCCCCATACACAGACCACACACACCGCATATGCTCACGCCACATGCGCACAGCACACGCATGCCCGGTGTGTCCATTCGCTGGGTTTTTCACACTGCACCTGCCCGCTGGCCTCCCCAGCAGAAATCTTTGGGACTCAAACGCAGAAAAGGCGGCCAATAAAGGGATGGTCGGAAGCGGAGCTATCCCAGCTGCTGGACTAGGAGCGGGGGGTCCCTGGACAGCAGTGTCCCCCACACCCACCTAACCCCAGCCCCCCACATGTCCTCATGTGACCCCAGGCTCAGCCAGGCAAGCAGCGCGCATGGTGACCCCTCCCTCCCCTCTGGTGCCTCTCATCATCTGCTTCAGGGGGCATCCCGTCATGCTGGTGGTCTCTGTCAGTCCCCACAGGTCCACAGGTGTCTCGTGGGTGTGGATGGCCAATGGCCAGCCCCTGTCCTCAGCCACATGGGTTAGTTCCGTGTCGGCACCCGGCAGAGGCTGGGACAGACAGGGCCACCAGCAGACCCCGGGATACACGGGGCTGCGTGTCCCCATCTCATCTCAGCGGGAAGGACGTCTGCCCGCTGGAGACTCCGGGCTGCAGCCCCTGGGCCTTGGGGCCTGTCACACAGGACTCATCTGAGGGGTGGTGAAGCCAGGGGAGGGCGAACCCCAGCTTGGCCCCGACCTCAGGTGCACGACCGGAGTGGGGAGGTTCATGCCCACCCTTAGAGCTGGGGCCCCAGGCCAGGGCTGAACAGCAGCATGGGGCTGACCAGGGCACAGGCGGCCAATGCAGCACCCCGAGAGCCTTCGAAGCTGGTGCCTCGCGGCAGGGCAGAGCCACCTGACACCCAGTTCTGCCCTGCCCAGGAGTGGACGACGGCGAGGACATTCCCCGTGAGATGCTGGTTGGAATCTACGAGCGGATTCGCAAGCGGGAGCTGAAGACCAACGAGGACCATGTGTCCCAGGTGCAGAAGGTGGAGAAGCTCATCGTGGGCAAGAAGCCGGTAGGTGGCGGCCCCTGCCCGGCCCCTTGGGCCTCTCCCCTCAGCTCAGTTGTCTCTGAGGCTTCTTGGGTCACAGCCTTGGTCCAGGTCCCGGGTGGGGGGACGCAGGTCGGCCGCAGTGGCGTGCAGCGGGCTCCTGGGTGCCGCGTGGGCCGGACCTTCTCACCATGTCTCCCTTCCTGTCCACAGATCGGATCCCTGCACCATGGCCTGGGCTGTGTGAGTGTCCATCCCCCCGTGGCCGCCTGGCACTCCCAGCGCCCCCCACCCCACCCCGCCGGCTCCCATGCCCCCACTTCCAGCCACTGGAGCCCATTTCCGGACGTGGCAGAAAGGGACTTTCCGAGTCGTCGTCCTTGAACCGCTGCCGCCCAGAGAACACAGCCACTGGAGGGAGACACCCCTCCTCAGGGCCACCCCTGGAGTCCTGCACCCCAAACCCAGGGCCGCAGAGCTGCCCTGGAGGAAGCCCCTGTGTAGCTCCCGGCCCCCTCACCCACGGTCCACTTACATGGTCCCTGCCCTACCCCCGAGAGCCCCCCCACCCTCCCACCCTGACCCCCCAGCCTCCCTGGCCCTCCACCCACCACTTGCATCCGTTTTGGGCCTCACCCGCTCCCCAGAACTTCGTGTCCTGTCCAGCACCTCGCCCTTCACCTTCATGCTTGGATCTCACCCACCCCCCAGCGGGCCAGACAGGGCCCTCCCAGCCCTGCCCGCCCTGCCCGCCCCACGCATGCTCGGCGCACAGTGGCTAGGCTGTGCCCAGTGCCAGCCTGAGGGGCAGCGAGGAGGCTGCAGCAGGCCTGCCGGACCTCTGGAATCCTCGTCCACAGCCGCATGGCCGCCCCCTCCTCAGCTGGAGCCCTCGAGGGCCATGGGCGCCCGGCCAGTCAGTGCTGGCCTGTGGCGGGGTCCCCGAGCCTGCCCCGGGCAGGGCGCCCCTGGCTAAGTGCACCAGGGCCCGAGGACAGAGCCAGGCACCCCCTCCCGCGCTGACCCGCCCGTCCCCGCCCGCAGGTGCTGTCACTGCCCCACCGGCGCCTGGTCTGTTACTGCCGGCTCTTCGAGGTCCCCGACCCCAGCAAGCCCCAGAAGCTGGGGCTGCACCAGCGAGAGATCTTCCTGTTCAACGACCTCCTGGTGGTGCGTGGGGCGGCAGGGGGGCCTGGACCCTTGGCTCTGGGGGGTGCCTCTGAGGGGACATCCCACCCCGCCCGCCTGTCTCAGCCCCAGAGCACTCAGTTTCACCCTGTCCCTCGGCCAGCGGCCCAAGTCACTGCCTGACCCGAGCACTGTCCCGGCCCCGTCTTGGCCCCTCTTGGGTGGGGCAGTAGCGGGGCCAGGTCAGGTCACAGCCCTGCCCCGGGGCGAGTGGACAGGAGGCAAGAGGGCTCCCCCAAGAGGACTTTCAGCTCTAGCCTGGAGTGGCCACTGTCCCAGCAGGCCAGGGACTTCCTGCCGAGGCCCCGTCTACACCTGCTGGCCCAGGCGCAGGTCCCCCATCCCCGCCCTGAGCCAGTCCCCTCAGGTCTGCCCCCAGAGCCACAGCAGACAGCAGTGGGGACTGAGCTGGTCTCCCATCACATATGTGTGTGCATATTTGTGCAGGCATGCTTATGTGTGTGCAGGTGACTATATGTGTATACGTGTGCCCGTGTGCATTGTATGCATGTATGTGTTTGTGTGTTTGTCTATGTATACACACGTGTGTACATGTGTGTGCACATCTGCGCATGTTGCGTGTATATATGTGTGCCTGTATATGTGCATTTGCCCCTGTGCATGTGTGTATGTTTATGTACGTGTGTGCATGTGTGCACATGTGTGGTGTATGTACATGTGTGTGCATGCTGCTTTCCTCCCCTGTGGGCTCCCAGGGCCCATGCAAAGCCTCCAACTCAGCTCCTGTCCCCGCACCCTCAGGTCACCAAGATCTTCCAGAAGAAAAAGAACTCGGTGACGTACAGCTTCCGGCAGTCCTTCTCGCTGTACGGCATGCAGGTCCTGCTCTTCGAGAACCAGTGTACGTGAGCCCCGCCCCCACCGGGACCGCCGGTGTCCCTTCCCACACCCAGTGGTGCCCCTTCCCGCACTCACGTGCCCACTCTGCCCGGAGCCCAGCAGCAGCCCCCGCGTTGGGAGTGGGGAATGGGCTGGCACTTGTCCTCACTGGGACTCTGAGCTCTGAGCTCACAGCAAACCGCACCGACTCGGGGCACGGGCACCAGGCATGGGGCCCCGCGGGGCCAGTGCCGGGGGCTGTGGGTGTTCCTGCCGAGTGAGCAGCTGAGCCTGAGCTCCTGCCCTGTACCCTACCCCCCTCCCTCCACACCCTCCTCCCAAACACCCTTGTCCCCTGCACCCTCCCCTCCCCGCCCCCACCCCCTCTTCCCCGCCTGCCTGTGCCCTCCTCCCCGCCTCTCCGGAGCCCACAGAGTGGCCAGTAGTCAGGAAATCTGCCCCTTTGGTTTTGGGGCCACCCCCAGCAGGACTCAGCTTACTCCTGCTTTGCCCTCAGGGGCCACTCCTGGTGGACTTGGGACACATGGGGTTGCTGGGGCTGGAACCCAGGTCAGGCACGTGCAAGGCCAGTGCCCTCACCACCACCCCATCACTCGAGTCCCCAGCCCACCTCTTCAGGAGGCCGCCCCAAGCATTCTTTCGTTTGCAGGGGGACAAGACGCTGGCACCTGTGGCCGGCAGGGCTGCTGCCCGTGCTGTCCTCTGCCCTCATTAGGCTAGCAGGCACCGAGCCCCTCTCTGTGCTGACAAGGACCCCAGCATGCCAGCTTGCCTCCCCGCGGCTGCCGGGGGCCCCAGCACCCACAGCCTCTCTCTGCCCACTTTGCAGACTACCCCAATGGCATCCGACTCACCTCTGCCATCCCCGGGGCAGATATCAAAGTGCTGATAAACTTCAACGCACCCAACCCTCAGGACCGCAAGAAGTTCACGGACGACCTGCGCGAGTCCATTGCTGAAGTGCAGGAGATGGAGAAGCACAGGATAGAGTGTGAGTGGCCGGCCTGCGAACACACGGACATGCACACAGACACACTCATGGACACACACATACACCACACGAACATACACATACATGCACAGGAGATGAAGAAGTACAGGATAGAGTGTGAGTGGCTGGCCTACGCATGCATGAACACACACACACGGACACACACACAGACACACAGACACTTATGGACACACACATACACACACACACAAGAGATGGAGAAGCACAGGATAGAGTCTGAGTGGCTGGCCTGCGTACGCACGGACAGAGGGACACACTCATGGACATACAGGCACATACATACACACACTCTCGCACACAGACACACATAACACACATGCACGGACATGTACACATACACACACGAACACACACTCATGGGCACACACAGCAGACAGAGAAGCACAGGATAAATTGTGAGTGACCAGCCTGTGCACGCATGGACACAGACACACTTACACACACACACACACACACACACACACACACACAGAAGTACAGAGAGAGTACTGGCTGGCCTGCACATGCACGGACATACACATGGGGGAAGGTACACATACACACACACACACCACACACAGAACACCATGTGCGCACACAGGCGCACACACATACATGCTCTGGCTTCTGCGGGCTGCAGTGACCGTGAGCCCTGAAAGCGAGGTGCCCAGTGTTTGAGGCTTACCTGGCGCCCGCAGGGGGCAGCCCCCAGTGCCCAGAGGGAGGCAGGGAGCCCTTGGGGGTGTTCAGTCCCATTCACGGGAACCTGTGTCCTTCCCAGTGCATATTCAACCATTTGCCACACCAGGGCTGGCCCGACAGATGGGTTCCCCCGCCCCCTCCCGGCCAGCCTTTGGGTCCCCTGGGAGCCAGTTTGGTCCCCCCGAGCCCCCCCAGACGCTGGGTCCACCTTGCTCTTCTCTAGACCCCCAGCTGCCCGTCCCCCTCCGCCCCCAGCCCTGGGCCGCTCCGGTCCCCCCAAGCCCCAGCCCCACACCATGGCCCTCACTGCCGCCTCCCGCGTTTCAGCCGAGCTGGAGAAGCAGAAGGGCGTGGTGCGGCCGGGCACGGCGCAGTGCTCCAGCTTGCGGAAGGAACCGGGTGGCAGTGCACTGAGCCGGGCCTGCCTGGACGACAGCTACGCCAGCAGCGAGGGCCTGAAACGCAGCGCCCTCAGCAGCTCCCTGCGCGACCTCTCGGAAGCGGGTAAGGGCTGGCCGGGAGCGCACCCACGGCGCCCGCTGCATGCAGGCCTCGGGCTGGGTACGGCCGTGGCCGCGGTCAGGCTGTGTGTCGTGGCCCGGGAAGGGACGGCAGTGGCTGGCCGGGGCAGGGCTCAGACGGGCCCCTCCCGGGCCTCCCCGACAGACCCCAAGCCACAGCCACCTCCGATCAGGTAGGAAGGGTGCCCCCCCCCAATCCCGCAGGGACAAACGCAGACAGACCCCCCTGGGAGCCAGGGCAGAAGCGCCGCGGGCCTTCCTCCGGCCCAGAGTTCTGTCGCACTGTGCTGCCGCATGCCCGTGTCTCACGCTGCCCGACGGCACCAAGTGGAGCGTGTCTGGAGACGCCCCTCTTCTCCTGGGTCTCCTGTTCCCCAGAGGGCCCCCCAACTTCCCAGGAAAGCCAGGCCACGGCCCTCGTGGCCACGCCCCCAGGGCTGTTGGCAAACCCGCAGAGCTGTGTCCTTGTCGCTGCCGCTGCTGTTTCTCCGTCTCTGTGCGTGCTTGGTCTGCTGCCAGCCTCCTAACCCCAGCAAAGCAGCACCCCCCGCCTCAGGTCTCAGCCTTCCAGCCCGGGGAAGGAGGGGGCACAGGGATGCTCCCACCCGGGGCCTGCGTGGGCAACGGGGCGCACCCGGGGTCCCTGGCAGATGTGGTCGGGCCCACCCGGGCACGAGGCTCTGTCTAAGGCAGCTCCTGCCCCACCCCCAGCCCTAGCCGCCCGACACAGGACACTGAGCACCCCCTCGGGCCTGTCCTGCCCAGGCGCCCCCCCCCCGCCACGCGGCCAGCTCTGAGCGCCCCCAAAAGAGCCAGCCATGGCCCGGCCCGGCCATACTGCCTCACCCAGTTACTCACCTCCCAGAACTGTTTTCCTTTCCCATTTTTTTTTTTTGGGTTTCCTGTGTTTCATTTTCCTTTCCAGCCGTATTTTGATTTTCCTTCGCTCTTGTTTTCTCATCGCCTTTTTCCGACTCCATTGCCAGCACATGGGGCCCGTTCTTGCCCCCCGCAGTGGCCCCTGCCAGGATGTCCTGTAACCATTGCTCCCCCGGTGCCCCGCGGGCCCTTGGGCCACTGGCACGGCCCAGCTGGAGAAGCTCTGGCAGTCCCTAAGGCCAGGGAAGCCCCTGCGGCACAATGCGGGGGTCCAGGTCCTCCGCTTGCTTTGTGCAGTGAAGCCACTCAGGGAGCGGGAGGCGCTCGGCAGGGCCCGGTGGGCCTGTGGCCAGCCACACACTCCCCAGCTGTGTGTGGCCTGAAACTCGGGTTTCGGTGGCCACCTGTGGCTTGTTGTCTGACCCCTATTGTCACCTAGGGATTCAGAGCCAAGGAGGACATGGGGAGGGGCTCCGGGACCCTTGTCCACAGTGAGGAGAGTCCCCGAGATGTGCCAGCCCCCTCCCCCCGCCCGGGCCCAACAAGCGCAAATACACCAGGACCTGCATGCGGCCGGTAGTGGCGGCCTCCCCAGAAGGTGCTGGATTCAGGACCCCCAGGACCGGGTACTCGGGACCTGTCCGGAGGCTACAGCACCGCTCCCTAAGTCAGGACCCCCGTGGATGAGCTGAGGGCGAGCTGAGGGCAGCCCCTCCCGCAGGAAGGCGAAGGTGGACACTGCCCGGCTGGCGAGTCGTGGCCCTCAGGGACAATGGACACTCAGCGCTCCTGAGAGGCTGTCACAGGCTCTGGCTGCCGAGTGACCTGCCCCAGGGAGGACCTGACCACTCGGGGGCCTGTGCGCCCCCACACACCCCGTCACACATTGGCACGCCACCTCACGAGGTCCCGTCCTGGGAGGTTAAGCCCAGCCAGGGGCCAAGATGCTGTGTCCAGCGCCAGGGCAGCCCAGGGCAGCGCCAGGGTGGCCCCTGGCGGCCAGTATCCAGGCAGCACCCCTGCTTATACAGGAGTCTGAACAGGAAATGGGGGGCCCACCTGACAATGTTGTGTCCCCCCCATCTGCCTGCGGCATTCACTTGACAGCCAGCCTCAGTTTCCCCCCACTGCAAGACAGAACCAGGTCCAACGTGCCCCGGCCAGGAGAGCTGGGAGTCAGCGGCCACCTCGGGTCAGCAGAGCCCAGGCCCCCTGACCCAGACGGGCAGATCCCGAGGAGGTGCCCCACGCGTGCCCCATCCCTTGCCAGGCTGCCAGGGCCTGCTGGGACACCCCCTGCAGCGTCCCAGTGTGACCCCTCCTCCACCCCAAGCCCCAAGTGGGATATAGAGCAGGTACCTGAAGAAAGAGCTCAGGGGCACGTGCCCACAGGCCCTGCTTGGCTGCCCCCCAGAAGGATATTACGCCGAAGCCCACCCGTCACCCACAGGCTGTGGGCAGGGGTCATGGAGGCTGTGCCTGAGGTGGGGGGTAGGGCCGGGACACCTCCTGTCCCACCTTTATCTTAGCCCTGAGAAGCTGGAGTCCCCTAGAGGGCCAGTGTCCCGCCGAGTTCAGGCCTGGCCTGTCCCTGGGCCCTGGCAGGGGCCTCTCTCCTGCCCGGCCCCACATGCCTGCAGGGACCCACCTACTGGCTACCCCGCCCCTTGGAGGCTGTGCTCGGCCTGTCCTGCTGTGTCCATCTCCCCGTGGCCACATTAGGAGGGGAAGAGCACCCGGCCGTTTCACACGCGGAAACGGGTACTGGGGGTCCCACGGGCCCACCCATCCCTCCTTGGGGGAGACTGCGAGCTCCTCTCAGCCGAGGGCTCCCAGAAAAGCTTGCCCCCCCAGTCCCATCCCGAGTGGGCTCCAAGGCATGACACTGATGACCCCCCTGCTCTACATGGGAACTCGGCTCTGGGTCAGCAGGACAGGGGGCTACTCCCCGGGCCTGTGCTCACTTGGAACTAGGGCTCTCTCCTTGCTGAGGGACCCTGGAAACTCAGAGATGCCCCTGGAGCACTTGCTCCGCCCAGCCCTGGCCAGACTGGGCCCTCGGTCAGGCTCCTGGATGAACAGTGTAGCTGCAGCCCTGCCTCCACCCACTGCCCCTGCCCCCTCCCACCCGGCACCTGAGCCCAGGGGAACCGCCAGTGGCCCTGCACGTGGCAGGAGGCAGCGCCCTGTGGCCGGGGCACCTAGGGGCCCGACAGGAGCAACGAGAAGTCCAAGGTGGGGGTCCTGCATGCAGGCCAAGAGGACCCCACTCAGCCGACACGCCTGGCATAGGGGGTGTGGCCCCCCCGCAGCCCTGCCCAGACACTGCACAAAGCAAACGCTGAGACCGGGGCCCAGCCGGGAGGGGGGCTCCGTCTCCCCCTGTCCCCCAGAAAGGTCCCCGCGCCGTGGGTACGTATGTCTCGGGGAACATACGTGTATGAAATCCACCAGTCGTCAAGGCCACGTTTGGTTCCGCTTTCTTGAGCCATCGGAGCAGCTGCCCACGCCCGGCCCCGCCCCCCAGCTCTGCACCCACCCTCCAGCCAGGACCCCCTCCCCCCACGCTGGCGGGCCAGGAGTCCAGGGGGGCGGGTGGTCGAGTCCGGATTTTCGGTGTTTTCCTTTTGGCGTTCTTTTGGTTTGATCCCCCCCAACTCCATGTTTGCTTTCGAGCCCCCCCTTCGTTCTCACTGGGTGCCCCCCGCCCCGGCTGCCCGCTTCCCGCCAGCCCCCGCCTCCGAGCCTGGCGCGGCGGCCGCGCTCCGTGTCTAACCTCTGGTATTGCATGTTCTGGGCAGGGAAGCGTGGGCGCCGCAGCAGTGCGGGATCGCTAGAGAGCACTGTGGAAGTAAGTAGGGGCCCCGCGCCCCGCCCCGGCTCCTCCTCGCCTCCCCCTGCGCTGCCGCCCCGCCCCGCGCGCAGAGCGGGCGCGCCCCGCCCCGCCTGCGCAGACCGTGCATGCCCCTCCCCGCCCGGCCGCGCGCCCCCCACCGCTTGTCTGGGCCGGAATGGGGCGGGGGGCGTCTGTCTGGAGTTTCTGTTTCCGTTTCTGCTTCACAACCCTGGGTACCCCTCCTCCCCGGGCCCCCCTCCCCCTCCCCGGCATGGTTAACGCCCCCCTCCCTCCCCCAGCCTCCCCGGGGTCCCAGGTGTGTGGCTGAGCGCTGCCTCCCCCGGCTTCTCCCTGACGACCCCCGATGCCGTGTGTCTGCGGGCAGGGCCCGGCCTCGCGTAGCTGCGGGGGCGGGGGGAGGGGCGAGCGTGAGCGACTCGAGTGGATTTCATGAGCCCATCCATCCTCAGCCATCCCCTCCTGTTCACATCCGAGCTTGCCGAGCTTCCGTTTCCTTCCTTTTCCGTGTTTGGTTTGCAGCAGGTAGCCGCAGGCAGGCCCCCCCCCACTAGGACCCCGGCCCCCGCCCCGGCCGGCCCCCGGCGCTCACTCCTGCCCCTCACCTGGGGGCTACCTGCCGCCCCAGCCCCCGGCAGCACAGCCCCCTTCAGAGTAGCCTCAGGACCCAGGACAGCTCAGGGGCACACTCGTAGCGGAAACGGGGTTGGGGGGGGAGGGGATCCGTCCTTCCCGGGCACACGGCCGGCCCAGCCCTCTGGGCGCATGGACCCGGCCCATGCCCATCGTTCTGGCCTGCCAGCGCCCGCAGGGTGTCCGCCAGAATCAGGACCAGGGCAGGGCGCCCGCCAGCATCAGAGCCAGGTCAGGGCGCCCGCCAGCATCAGGACCAGGTCAGGGCGCCCGCCAGCATCAGGACCAGGGCAGGGCGCCCGCCAGCATCGGGACCAGGGCAGGGTGCCCGTCAGCATCGGGACCAGGGCAGGTGCCCGCCTGCATCAGGACTAGGGCAGGGTGCCTGTCAGCATCAGGACCAGGGCAAGTGCCCGCCTGCATCAGGACCAGGGCAGGGTGCCTGCCAGCATCAGGACCAGGGCAGGGTGCCCGCCTGCATCAGGACCAGGGCAGGGTGCCCGCCAGCATCAGGACCAGGGCCGGCGTCACATTGTGGGCTGCGCTGCAGAAATAGAGTGGAGGGGCGCCCTCCTCCCGGCCCCCCTCGGCTCCCTGCAACGCCCCCTCCCACACACACAGCCGCCCGGCCACTGTAGCGTGAGGGGAGGGGGGACCCGAGTCAGCCTCGCCGGCCCCGCCCTCCGGCCCGTGAGATGGACAGGCTTAGCCGACGGCAGGGGTGTCAACTTTTGCCATTGAAGAAAGAACGAAGAGAAATAGAAATCATCCTGGCATCCGTGCTTTAAGGTCTTTTAATTTTGCTCTCTATGAATTTCCTTTTTAGGGGTCCATCATTAGCAGTCCTCACATGCGCCGGAGAGCCGCATCAACCCGCGAGTGTCCATCCCGCCCACACCAGGCCCTGCCCAACTCCTCCTCCTCCCTCCTGGGCTCCCTGTTCGGGAGTAAGAGAGGGAAGCTCCCTCCCCAGGCCCTCCCGGCCGCAGCCCCCCCGCAGCCGCCCCCGCACCCGGGGCCTCCCGAGGGCCCGCCCCCCGGCCCGGGGCACGGACACCACTGTGCCCAGTACTGCCCCCTGCAGAGCCCGCCCCCCTACCACCACCACCACCACTACCACCCGCCCCAGCACGCCCCGCACCCACACCAGTACCACCACGGGCCCCACGCCGGGCACCCCCCCTACGGGGCCTACACGCACGGCCCCCACGCCGGCCACGGGGGCCACGCGGCACACCACCACGGGCAGCCCCCCGCCCCGCCGCCCCCCACCAGCAGCAAGGCCAGGCCCAGTGGCATCAGCACAATCGTGTAGGCAGCCTGGGCGGGTCCCTGACTCCGCGGGAGCATCGGCACACCCGGCCGGGGGCGCCCCGGCCAGACCCAGGGCACACGTGTCTCCAGCCCTCCCCGCGCTCCCCCCAGGGGCGCACCCCACCCCCTGGCGCCGCAATGCAACCCTCACCCCCAGCCCGGGCCGGGCGAGGGAACAACGTTCCCCCCGCACCTGGGCGCTGTCCACTTCCGCCCACGGGCAGGGCCGCGGCCCCCAACCGGCCAAGGAGTGTGCACTGGGCCCCGGCAGCCCCCTGCAGCCCTCGGCGCTCTGCTGCCCGGTTGCACACGCATATGAGAACTCAGACAAAGAAGAAACGAGACACACAACCAGAAACTAAAACCAAACGACCCCCAAACGCGCTGCGTTCTTGCTCTTTTATTGACAATGGGCAAAAAAATAATAATAATAATAATAACTAAGTAGACCTGATATGGTTGATGAAAATCCGTAAGTAAACTTTATATAATATAAATATATAAATATATAAATAGAGATTATAAATATGAATATATATATATATACTGTATAGGGAACGGTGGCGTGGGAAACCGAGGGCCACTACAGCCCCGGTCAGCAATACAGAGGTGACCAGGCGTTCCTCAGCCCGCCAGGAAGACAGGACCGTAGCTGAATGTGTGGGAGGATAGTCCAGAAACCCAGCCGCTAGGAACATGCCGGACCTGTCCATGTTTTTCTACAAGAGCCTCGTCTCGCAGGGGCTGGTACTCCATCACCACTGACTGTGCCAAGTACCGCCATAGCACCTAACCGTCTAAAGAGAACCCGGTAGCGCTTTGTAGAAACCCTTATTTTATTAACAGAATACTCTCCTAAGTACTCAGTATTATAACTGCTCTTTCAGGTAAGCGACTAGATAACAATGCAGTAAAAACAAAAACAAAACAAAAAAAAAAACTTACAATAGCAACCCCCGGGGCCGGCCAGGGCCCCAGGACACGCCAGGACCTGGGCGCCAGGTTCTTAGACACTTTAACGGCTGTGATAACTGTGAAGCTCCATGCTCCATGTTTCCGCTCTCTGCCCATGCCCGACCGCGCGCTCCTGCCGAGGGCCCGTCCCGGCAGGAGTGCTCATCCTCATCCCGGCAAGAGGGGCGCCCAGGGCGGTGTGTGTGTCCCCCCCCTCCCCCCTCCCCCCCCCCGCTGTGTTTTCCGAGTGGTCGCCGTGGTCATCGTACCTCCATGTCGCCATGTGCGAGCCCACACCACCCCCCATCCCCCCGCCCCCACTCCCCGTCATCCCCCTCCCGGTGGCCCACAGAGAGTCGGGCTCTCTGGGGAAACCCACCCATGCCCGCCCCCCTGCTGGGCCTCACCCGACGCTCAGCTCTGCTCTTGTCGCTTTCGTGTCGTGCCACCCTTCGCTCCCCCACCCCCACCCCGGGGCCCGGCGCTGCACGGGGAGGGGGCCTGTGTCACCCACGGGCCCTGCTTTATAGTTTCAGCCTTTCGAGTCACTGCAGCCGCCAGTGCTCTGCTCCTAAGCCGTGAGACCGAGGACTGCCCCGGGCGCTCGAGGGCCCTTTCAGAAAGGGCGAAGCTCACACCAGACTGCGGGGCCAGACGGCAGGCGGACCGAGGGCCCCCCACCCCCCGGGCCGGCGGCCCCCTTCCCTCCCCACCCGTCCCTTTGTCATGTCTTTGAGGTCACCATACCAGCAAGTCTGCAAAACCGAGCACTTTGTTAATCTCCACAGAGAACAAATCCAGCAAATCCTAAGAGTTTTTCGCCTGTTTGAAACGGTGTGGCTCCGGCAAAGCTCCCCAAGGCCTGTCGCCTCCCGTCCAAGGGCCGGCGGGCAGACGGGCGTCTGCACAGGAAGGGAGATAGGGAAGAGAATTAAAAAAAAAAAAGTCTGGTTCGGTGGAGGCCAGGCTGGTGGGGGGCTCCCTGGTTCCGTGGACCCCTCGACGCCCACATTTCCTTCCCAGCCAGGCTCCTCGGGAAAGCAGGACTGCACGCACGCCCCGTCGCCCCCCGGGCTGCCGGCCACACTTCCGTGTTGTATATTTGCAAACCTCTCAGTGTTACTGTTGACCAATAGTTGAAGTAAAGTGATCACACGCAATCCGTCAGCTTTCCTTCCCTCTCTGTGCCAGCGATAGGGCAGACTGTGAGGTTGTTCCAGAAAAGGCGGGGGCCGTTGGGTACCACCTGGCCCTTCCTAAGGGGCATCAGCTCACGAGTGAGAGACAAACCCGAAATCTGATTGGGGTGGGATGGAAGGGCGCTCTGTCCCTGGCTGTCCCCTCTAGAACCTGTCACCCCTGAGCGTCCTGACGTTTGATCGGGGCCGCGGGGCTGGATCTGATTGGTGGATGAGCTCTGGGACTGGTTCCGATTTCTCCCTGGTGCCCAGCGCGCTGGGTGATGAATAATGAGACAGTGCCACCTGGTGTGTTTTGCCCACAAACCAGTCCCAGGAATGTGTCCAGAAAGCACAGTAGTGGGGCCACCATGGGGACCCCCCCATCGCCCCCTTCGAACGAGAGACAGGCGGCTGAGCACCCCCTGACACCCACCCCCTCAAGCCCCCATCAGCCTCCCTGTCAGGACACTCGGGAGATTTTCCTCAAGTTGCACAATTACTCCAGTTCTGGAACGATCTCTGTCCAGAGCAGGAGACCCATCCATGGAGGCAGCGGCTGGTAGCATACCCCCTTCCAACCCCGCCCCCCCAAAAAAAAATCTTTTCTGGGACAACAATAAAATCATGTATTTGTATTTTTTTAAGTTTACGAATGACTTGTACAACAATGTAAAAAAAATAATAAAGTTCATCCTAATATGAGGTGCACATCTTACTTTGAAACAATAAAAGTGTCTGCAGCAAGCCAGTGTAGACCGACTCTCCCCACGCACCGCACCGCATGCAGTGAAGCCTCTTGTTGTTCTTGAAAACAAAGCTGAGGCAGCCAACATTTTAAACAGAACCTGGGGCCGATCAGCCTTCCCTGGAAGCTGGGTCTCCCGGGACAAGCATGCATCTGAGCAGTCTCCTTGTAAAATACGTCCACCTCCCTGCCTGAGCCATTCCGTACGTATTCGCCATCCCAACAACAGTAATCCAGGAAACAGATTGCCAAGTTGAATCTGCGGGCCGGGGCGGGGTGGGGAGGGGTGGGGGTGCCGGGCGAGCAGGAGGGACCCCCGTGACTGTTGTGTTCCAGCACACCCGCGTGCCCAGCTCCTCCGGGGAGCACCTTGGAGGCATTTGAAACCGTCAGCGCCGGGTCGTGAACACGGACCCTTCAGAGACTTGCGGGGTTCCCTGGCACCCACGGTGTGACTTTGGGGAGGAAAGGGGCGCTTCTGTCTCGATCCGCGTTCTGTGACTAGTGACCGACTCTTGCTGTGAACCATAGCTGTGATCATGTGGAGAACTCAAATAAAACCTTGCAAACACTCAGAGCCTGCCTTCTTTCTGAATAGCCCTTTGCAGCGGGCAGAGCCGGCAGCTGCAGCCGACCAGGTGGGCTGTCCCCGGCCGCCATGGACCCCCGCTTTCCTGGGGGACGGCAGACTGCGTGCAGGGTCTGCTGAGAGGCTGGTCCATGTCAGGTAAAAGGCTGTGTCGGCATCAACCAGCTTCTGAGGCATCAGGCCACCTTTAGGGGTCTTGGAAGCTGTCTGTCTTAGAGGCGGACTTGGTGACAGTGAGTGACACCGCCCACTGTCCCCGTGCATAATGAGAGGTGATTTTATATTTTTCTTTTTGGGCCACATCCAGTCATGCTCAGGGGTTGCACACTCCTGGCTCTGCACTCAGGAATTACTCCTGGCGGTGCTCAGGGGGCCATATGGGATGACGGGGATCGAACCCAGGTCAGCTGTATGCAAGGCAAAAGCCCCACCCACTGTGCTGTTGCTCCAGCTCCGGGAGGTGAATTTTTTGAGGTCCAAGCTGCCCGTTTTTCCCATATTGGCTGACATCACGTGGAACAATGGTGTGGTGAGTCTGTTTTGGGTTTTGTTGTCGTGGAGACACACCAAGTGCTCAGGGACCGTTCCTAATGGTCTCTGAGGCCTGAGCCTTGTCTCCCCCCGTACAATCTCTCTATCCCGATCAGTGGGTGGACCCAGCCCCCAGCCACCCTCTCTGCCCCGCTTCTTGAAGATCCTGACAACACCCAGGATCCGCAACCCTCAGCACCTTCTCCAACTTTGCCGACAGAGGGCACTGGAGGGACATTGCCCAGGCCCAGGGACCAGCCATCCTGTTCCACCCCAGCTGGCTTTGCCCACTTGGCTGGCAGAGAAGTCAGGCTTGGCCCACCTGCACCCCGATGGGAAGTTTCCTGCTGGTCCATCTCAGCCCAGGGTTCACTGTCCACTGCCCTGGAGGTTCTGCAGGCCGGGAGAGGGTGGAGGGGGATACTTTCCTACTGCCTCTCACAGCCCAGCCACCTCGCCTGGGGATGAATGCCTTGGGCCAGGACAAGTGAGGTGCCCGGGCCCCGGAGTGCAGGGGAGGGGCTTCCTGAAACAGGCCTGCTCTCGCCCTGCTTGGTTCCTCTGGGCTGTGTCTGTCTGGACTAAGGTATTTTTTTTTTAAGAGTATCTTTTCTTTCCCTTCTTCGCATTTCACCCCCTCTAATAATGAAAAATCCTTTACCTAAGCCTGGTGACTGCGGTTTCTGGACCTGGGAGGTGGACCTGGTTCGTGGGTGGGCATAGTCTGTGGGTGGGCCTGGTACATGGGTGGGCATGGTCCATGGGCTTCCCACAGTGCTGCCATGACAAAACTAGCAGCAGTGACAGCTGTGACCAAGTATCCAGGATGCAAAGACCCCTGATGCTGGTGCCCAAATGACTGCGAAGAGCCAATGGCGGGCCTGGCCCCTCGATGTACAGCCCAGGCTTTGGGGACTCAAGAGCCCCTCGATGGGGCGCACTGGACCTCGAGCCTGACCTGCAGGCCCACCCTTGGGATGGCTCTCTGGGCTGCTGGGGAGGTGGCCCCAGATACTGAGATTCCCCAATACAAAGGAAGCCTGAAAGATCTTAGACCACCCACCTTCAGCCCGACTAACACAGCGCTCCAGGCCGCCCCTCACACACACAGGTATGCCGTATAATCCACAGAGCCTGTGTGGAATAAACCTTTATTTTCTCTACCTGTTGGTTGACCTTGACGTTGGTCAAGGTCAGACCCCCCCCACACTGCTCCAGTCCTTCCACTGGGCACTGAGAGCTGCCCCCTCCCCGTGCTCATTGATGGTGGGATGGCTGGAGCATGCGCTTTGCAGGCACCGAGCAGGCTCCATCTCCACACCGCAGGCTTCCTGAGCATGGCTGGGAGTGGCCCACACACACCACGACCCCCAAATAGAACATCTGTTTGGGGACATCTGCATGTCGCAAAGGAAACAGATTTGTGAATCCCCAGGTCACCGTGAGCCGCCATGGAAGCAGCACCCCATCCTTTGTCTGAACAAAGCATCCCTTTGTCTGAACCTGGGGAGAGGCAAGGCTCCCGGGACCCTCAGAGATCCAGTGCAGAGAGCTCCTAGCGGATAGTTGCAGAGCCGGTGCGGGAAGAAGGGGCTCAGGCAGACTGGCTGTCCACCTCTGCTCGCCAGCAGAAGTGCTTGTGGGGTTGCAGTGAGTATGTTCATGCAGATGTTTGTGCCTGGTGGGTGTAATGACCCTGGGTTTGATCACCTGAAGCTCAAAAAATACACTTAAAAGGGTCTGGAGAGGTAGTACAGTGAATAGGAAGTGAGTAGGATGTTTGCCTTGCAGGCAGCTGACCCATGTTAGACGCCTGTCATCCCATATGGTCCCCTGAGCGCTGCCAGGAGTAAACCCTGAAAACAGTTTGATGTGGTTCAAAAATAAAATATATATATATATTTTTGCTTTTTGGGTCACACCCGGCGATGCTCAGGGGT